TTATTTAAATAGGTCAGTCTGAATTGTGTATACCATACACTCTGACCTTGTATAAAAGTAGTCCACTCTCAGGATGATGTAATTTTAACAATTTTTATGAAGACCAGATGAAGGCTGGGTATGTGGTAACCTTTGGTGTGACATAGCTTTTAATAGAATGTAGTTTTATGTCCTATAATTAATTCTGAGTCTCTTTGAAAAGGGATATAATTATACTATCAAGTTCAATTGACTAGATAGGAGAATTTATTGTGCTTTCTTTTCCAGCAAAGAAGATTAACACAGTTTCTGTGTGTTAGTACTGTGTGTTAGTACCTAGATAGGAAAATGAATGTAGATTCAGTCACTCGGAAACATAAGAGATTCTTGATATCTTATAATAGTGGAGCCTTTGAGGCAATACATATTGTCTCAAATGCATTAGTACTGTTTTAGCTCTGAATTTTAAATTGGTTTAGATCATCACTGAGTGCTTTCATATACTTGGATTCTTTTACACCTATATTTTTGGTGTGCATGAAGTTATTTTGCTCTAGTTGATGTTTTTCATTGCTTCTGTGGATCTGTCTTAAGACTTACTAGTTCTTCTGTCTTCTCCAAAATGCTGTTAAACCCATCCAATTGATTTTTATTTCAGTTAACTGTATTTTTCAGGTGTAGAATTTCCATTTGGGTCTTTTTTATAGTTTCTACTTCCCTACTGAGATTCCCTAAAGTTCATTCATTAAACTGTATGTTTCTAAGTTATTTAAATATATCCATAATAGCTACAATAAAGTCTTTGCTAATTCCAACAGCTGGGGCCTTGCTAGATTGGTTTCTGTTGACTGTTTTTTTTTTTTTTTCTTTGATTATGGATCACACTTTTTAGTAATTTTTATTGTACACTAGACATTGTAGATGGTACATTATAGAGATTCTGGACTCCATTATTCTCTGAAAAATATTGATTTTTGTTTTCTGTAGATAGTTCAGTTAGTAGCTGATCATCTTGAACTTGTATGAGCATGATTTGACAGTTTTCTAGGGGAGATATTGGAAAAGCTCAAAAGTACATAATCTTTAAACTCTGTCTCTCCTGTGGTTCTTGTCAGAGTTTTGGTTTAAGTCTTTTTGGGGGTTCGTTTAGAATTGGCATTGTTCTAAATTGTGGTCCTATTTAAAAACTTGACACCTGGTTCTGTGTGTGTGTGTGTGTGTGTTTTACTTGATTTTTACTTACAAAATATATTTTGGTTAAATTTCCATGTCAAAATGTATAAATATTTCTTTTAATCCAATATTTATCTCAGAATAAATGTAATATAACATAATTAATCCACTTGATAGGTTGTTATTTGTTTTCAATGCAGAGATGCAGTGAATATCCTTGTATATATTATTCTATTTGTACTTGTAGGAAAATATAAACACTTTTGGTAAATATTTGTCAATATTCTTCAGATAAAAGCAATGGGATTATTAAATTTGCATTTCTTCATTTACTAGTAAAGTTAAGCATCTTTTCATGGGGGTTACCAGCCAGTTATCATTTATCTAGTTCTGTAAAAGATGGCGTTTGGATTTTGATGGGGATTGCATTGAATCTGTAGGTCACTTTGGGTAGTAAGGACATCTTTTTTTTTTTTTTTTTAAAGATTTTATTTATTTGACAGAGAGAGACGCAGCGAGAGAGGGAACACAAGCAGGGGGAGTGGGAGAG